TGGTGCACGCTGAAGTGCATGGTCTTCAGACGGGGATGGCATGGAACTCAAACGCCGAACCCCCGTGTGCAGAACCTCCTTAGAGGGGCCATGCCCTGCAAAGTGCTGCTGCTCTCCCGGCTGCCAGGGACCACGGCTCTATTGGAATGCCGTTCATTTTTTCAGCCAATAACACAGAGCGTTATGGGGCAGCTACCATGGGGCGGGTACTGTTGGCCCTGGGGACATAAAGGTGAATAAAACATTGCCCGTGCCTTCGAAGAACTGAGACTAGTCATGAAGAACATGGGAACAAATCATGTTATGACGTTATTCTAAGCTCTGTGTAGAGGTAGTTACCAAGGACTCTGGGAATGAAAAACAATTAGTGAAAATCTTTGTGATTGGATTTTTTAAAATTTCTCTGCACGCCCAGCATCTAAATACCTTTCCTCCCAAAATAGGCAACGGTCAGGTCCCCTCTTCTACTGGCGAAGGTAAAGAGTCAGACATTCCTTCTCCCTAGTCCCTGGCAGGTGGACAGTGAACACATGACGTAAATGTCCATCTCCAACTTGGGTCTCCCTTGGACTTCAGACTCCTGTATCAGGATGATTACTCAATACCTCCTCTTGGGTATGGAACAGATATCTCATATCACAAGTCCAAAGTCAGACTTGGTACCTTCCCCCGAAACCTGCCTCTTTCCCAGTGTTCTCCACATCAATACACTGCATTACTGTTTAAACGTTGGCTCAGCCAAACAACCTTGGAGTCATCTATATGACACTCTCTCTCTTGCACATACATCCCACCCATCATGAAGGACCGCTGGCCCTACTTCGAAAATGCATCCCAATTCTGAACACCTCTTACCACGTTGCCCTCTATCCCTGCATCCGGGCCACTACCATCTCTAACCTGCTCTCCTGAAAGGGCCTCTTAGCAGATGGCTTTCCTTCCACTCTTGGCCCACTTCTGTCCATTCTCAGCAAAGCAGCCAGAAACAAATCTCCTAAAATGTAAATCATATCACAGTGTCCATTTCTATATTCTTCAGTGGCTTCTCGTCACATATAGAATAAAACCCAGTGTCTTTTCCATGGCCGCCCTCCACCATCTGTTACCTGCCCTGGTCTCATCCAGTAGGAGAGCTGCGTCCTTTAGTTTTTGGGGAAGAGGCAGACTGGGAGAGGTGTAGAAATAGAAATAGAAGCTGGATGGAGGGGCCAGGTGAGAAGACTGGCGAGGGGATAAGGGCTGAGAAAAGGCAGATTAAGACAACAAAACCAATCTCAACAAAAGCCTCGCCTTAGGACAGGAGATGAATGGCTTGTCATCATTCATTCGTTCATTCATTCAACAGATATTTACTGAGCACCTGCTGTTTACCAGGAATAAGTGCTAGGCACTGACGCTGGTATTGAGTTACTTTTGCTAAACCACTGAGCTTAGAAACCAAAAACATACGCACTCAGTGAGACCTTGAAAAATATCTTTAGGTTCTGAGCCTGGTTCCTTCTCTATAAAACTGGAATAATAATGATGCCTGCTCTGTTGATTCAAATAGTTATTTATGTGATGCTATAAAGAGCTCTACGTTTATCTGATGTGGTACTTAGACTGGAAGGTCCGTGGAGGAAAGGACGATGTCTGTTTTGTTCACTATTATATTGCCATTTATGGAAGTGAGCATTTATGGAACCAATGAATGAATGAATGTAACGGATTCAGAATCAGTTTTGGGAAGGGATACTGCTACTTCACAGATTTTGAGAAGCTTAAGGGTATCTTCTTACTGGCAAAAATCCTGGGTAGTTTATGCCACAAGCAGTTGTATCTTGGCTCAATGTGATGGTCTTACCATGTGTGCCCCAAATGGAGGAGCTCTCCTAAATTGCATGGTTTAATTCATCTGTAACATGATGATCAAAGTTAGTTCAGCTCCTCTCATTCCCTTTTGCACTGGGCACTGGGCTAGGCACGCACTTACTCTCCTACACACACTGGCTTATAGGCTGGGTACCAATTCATCCTAGCTGCTTCAGATAAAAGTCCCAAGATACGCAAAGATCTTGAGAGACTGTGGCAATTAGCTGAAGTGAAGGAGATAAATTCAAACAGGGCACAGGGTAAAGACAAACACTGAGGTCTAAGAGATGAATAGCAGAGAAACGAATGGGAAGAAAAACCGAGCAGCTGCTCCTGCGCTAAACAAAAATGCAAAAAAAAAAAAAAAATAAACAAGCTAAAATACATCTGAGGGACTAAAATCTGGAAAGGGCCGTGCAAAAATAACTATCTTCAGGTATTTTTTGCATCAACATTTATTTAATATTTTCATAATATGACATGAGTTCCATAGTACGAGAATACATTGCTTCCATTGAAATAAAAGTAGGACATCAGTGTATTCCTTCAGTCCCAGCTGAGCTAACAGGAGGTCCCTCGTTGGTCACCAGCCTCCAGATCGGGAAGTGTGGTTGATGATATTAGCTTGAGTCAGAATATACTTTTTCGCTAGATCAGTTCCTTAGTTCCGATTGTTCAGCTTGTCCATTTGGTCAAATGTAAATATTTTTTCCTTGCTCTTCTCTAAGAATTTTTGTGCCAATGATCTGGTGCACCTGGCTTAAGTTAAAAAAATTCTGACATTAATTAGGCGTTATGCTAAGTGATCTACCTGCATTATCACAGTTAATCTTCATTACAATCCTGTAAGGGAGGGACTCTTATTAGCCCTGTTTAGTAGATGAGAAAATTGAGATTCAAAGTGGGTTGAGTACCTTCATCGAGGTGACATGGGTAGTCAGAGCACATGTGGCTCTCCAAGGCCATGTTCCTTGGCCCTGTCCCTCCAAATGAGACAGTTAAATCTGGTGAGAGCAAAACAGGCTCACAAACGCAAAGACACGCAAAATACTTTGGAGAATATGTTCATCCAGGACAAGCATGATTCCGGCCGGGGCTGTTGCTTTGATCTGAAAGCTTCATGCTGCCCAGCTGTTATACACTAACGACTTCCAGCTCTGTGTGAATTTCTCTACCAGGCAAATTCCTCTTGCCTCATAAAAGTGCTTGCTGAGAAAGCTCAAAACCCAGTAGCAGTTAATTATTGACAGAGCATGTGAATTAGAGATAAAAGAAAAGTCATTCTTTCTCCACACACGCAATAGTAAATAAATTTAATTATGGTAGAGGAAGCTGAGGGATGTGCGTCGGCATTAAGTTTTATTAGCTGAGACATTTAAAAGCATGTCGTCGTAACAAAGAGGGCTTGTGTAATCCTAAACGTAGCACTTTGGTGCAAGGCTTGCAAATGAATAGGCTTAATGGAGCGCATGGGGGCAGATGGCCTGCTGCCCTGACAGGTATTGAACAGGTTTATCGTCAATTAACGTTGGTCTGCACGTGCCTATAGCAGATTGACTGTGTAATAGACCTGAGCCTCGCTGTGTCGGTGACAGGCCTGCCACATTGGGATTGGGGGACGAAGAGCATCAAACTCCCTCAATATCTTGAACCTTCCAGATAAGACAAGGCCACTCTGAAGGTGAACAAGGATGGAGGGGCGGGTTTAGAAATGCAACTGGGCAAGGAAACCAAGAGGCGTGGGCCCCAGTGTGGGGTCTGCCACTGGCTCACTGGGGAACTTTGGGAGCAAAGAAAGAAGAAATCCCAAAAAAGAACCAAACCTATGTTAGATGCTTTCATATTATATGTTATTTTATTCTCACCTGAACTTGAGGTAAGTTTGAGGATTTTACAAGTGAAGATAATAAGGCTCGAGGATGTAATTCAATTTCCTGAGGTCACGAAGCCCGTGTGATTCTCTATATCTGGACTTCAGTTTCCTTATTTGCACAATGATGCCTTTGGACTAGGTCAGGGGTCAGCAAACGTTTTCTTCCAGAACCACATAGTAAATATGTTTGGCTTTGTGTGTCATATGGTCTCTGTTGCCACTACTCCCCTCTGCTGTTGCCTTGCAAAGGCAGCCACAGACAGCGCATAAAGGAATCAGTGTAGGTATGTCCCAATGAAAGTTTATTTATGAGCATTGAAATTTGAATTTCGTATAATTTTCACACATCCCAAAATGTTATTATTATTATTTGGGGGTTTTTCCCAACCATTTAAAGATTAAAAGTCCTGGGGGCCGGCTCCCTGGCCGAGTGGTTAAGTTCCCGTGCTCCGCTGCCGCGGCCCAGGGTTCAGATCCTGGGCGCAGACATGGCACCACTCGTAAGGCCACGTTGAGGCAGCGTCCCACATCCCACAACTAGAAGGACCTGCAACTAAGATATACAACTGTGTACAGGGGGAGTTTGGGGAGATAAAGCCGGAAAAAAAAAAAAAAGATTGGCAACAGTTGTTAGCCCAGGTGCCAATCCTTAAAAAAAAGGAAGATTGGCAACAGTTGCTAGCCCAGGTGCCAATCTTTAAAAGAAAAAGATTAAAAGTCCTTCTTAGCTGCGAGCCCTACAAAAACAGAAGGCGGGCTGTAGTCTGCCAATCCCTAGACTAGATAATCTTTGAGGTCTTGTTGAGCTCAAACATTTTCGGAAAGCCACTACAACAATAATAATATCCTTGATTTATTAAGCTCTTACACATGCCAGATTCTGTGCTAAACACTTTACAAGCATGATCTCCCTTAATCCTTACACTGCCGTGTGAAGTAGGTGTTATTATCTCCATTTCAGAGATTATAAAACTAATACATAGAGAAATTAAGAGTATATCTGGGTTAAACATAACTTGTCAGAGGAGGAGCGGCAATTTAAGCCAGGTGAATAAGGTTCCCGAGAATGAACGCGTAAGCCTTTTGCTGCCTTTTCTGATAATACTATAGTCAGAACTATACTGAGACATATAGTTAAAAAGAACTTCCAAGTGTTTATCAATGACTTTTATCTAGTAGCTCCCCACTAGGCTATTTATCTCACACATTTCATACCAAAGTTAAGATATTTCTGGATAGGAATAACCAGGGTCTTTCCTTTTCTTCCCTCTTCCAGAAATGTGATGCCTAAGACTTTGGATGGACAGATAACCATGGAGAAGACGCCAAGTTACTTTGTGACCAGTGAGGCTCCCAAGCGCATCCACTCCATGGCCAAGGACATCAAACTTATCGTGGTGGTGAGAGACCCCGTGACCAGGGCCATCTCTGACTACACCCAGACACTGTCAAAGAAACCGGAGATCCCCACCTTCGAGGTGCTGGCCTTCAAAAACCGGACCCTGGGGCTGATCGACGCCTCCTGGAGCGCCATTCGAATCGGGATCTACGCTCTGCCCTAGAAAACTGGCTCCAGTATTTCCCCCTTTCTCAGATCCTCTTCGTCAGTGGCGAGCGGCTCATAGTGGACCCTGCTGGGGAAATGGCCAAAGTACAGGATTTTTTAGGCCTCAAGCGTGTTGTGACTGAGAAACATTTTTATTTCAACAAGACCAAGGGGATCCCTTGCCTAAAGAAGCCGGAAGACAGCAGTGCCCCGAGGTGCTTAGGCAAGAGCAAAGGTCGGACTCATCCCCGCATCGACCCAGATGTGATCCACAGACTGCGGAAATTCTACAAACCCTTCAACATGATGTTTTACCAAATGACTGGCCAAGATTTCCAGTGGGAACAGGAAGAGGGTGACAAATGAGGCTAGAGATGTGGAGGGAAGGCAAGTGAATAGTTAAGGAGGCTCCTTTACCTGAGTCCTGAACCTCCCAGGGGTCTGCAACCTCAGCCTTGCTAGAGTGCCAAGTAGATCTCCTCCTTTATCCCACTCAGGAATACTTACAATGCTGTTGGCTTAGGCAAAGGGGATGGATCCCATGGCATCCTCATAGAGGAACCAGCAGCATCTGGTTGACCAGATGGCCACCAGAATCCACTGCTAATTCTCGTCTTCTGCTAGTTAATAGAGTCTGAAGACGGAACAAATAGCTGTCAAGGTCAGAGACAGTGCCATGAATGTTTAAGTGATAAAAAAGAAAGGAAGGTCTCCCTTTGGGGGCTCTCACTTTGTTTTGGGAAGCCTGAGTTCTAGCCCTGTGTCTGGCAGAGGCCCCTGCTGTATAAACGTCCGCTTTGGCGTCTCCCCAGAATGTTAATTGTGGCTGAGTGCTCCAGGACTCCGAAGGAGCAAGGTCCTCCCTCTAAGGTGTCTCTAGCCTTCTCTTTAAAGGTCTCATCCCACAACCCTTCGACTTCCTCTCTCTTCATCTTATGAAGGCAGAGGCATGCACGTTCCTCACCAAAAAAAGCCAATACCCCTGGAAGCCTTCTTTCTAAGAGCCCTCTAAGGAGGGTTGAGTCTCTCTCTTCATGAGCAGCCCAGGTTGTGGAGAAGCCCAGCATATGCCCTGGTGTTACACTGAGGCCCGCAGGGCTGCTCTCAGAGCAGTGTGCTTGCAGCTGACCTCAGAGCCCTGAAGTTGGGAAAGACGAGTGCCACATCTGGGAGGGAAAAAAGAAAGCCAGTCCTCTTGGTGGGAGGTTTCTGCACCTGAAGACCCTCTCTCAGCACCATGGTTCTGAGTCATGCTTTTGGGGTGGGCTCTGTCCTTTAGGGTCCCCAGAGGGGCAAGGACCCGAAAGTTGGCATATCTTTTGTTATGAAGAACCCTTAGCAGCACAAGGAGGAGGGGACCAGTCACCTGTCTTCTATTTGCCCCACCATTCCCCCCTCACAGTCGTCTCACACTTCCTTTGCTGTTTTCAGAGCTGGCACATATTGGGGCAGTGACAAAAGGGCTGACTCCATTTGTCAGATGCAGTTCATGGGGGTGGGGGAGCGCAAGGGCTGTCTGCAGACACCCCATCAAGGGCTGCTGAATAAAGTGTCCCTTCCATTCATTCGATTCCATCAAAACACAGCATTCGACATGAAGCACTGTTCACAGATCTCCAAAACCGGGAACTGTTCTAGTAAAATTGGAAATATGTATGAGTGGGGGAGGTAATCTGTTCAGCTGTTATTAAACTGTCATTTCTCCTGCTAAATGAAAACCGTGTTGTTATAAAGCTTAATGAAACCTGATTAACGGGTTTTGATGGCGTGTTTGTGTTGTCACTTCCATCCCCACACTTACCCCCATCCCTCGAATTCTGGGAGTATCCCGTCTCCGATACGGCCAGAAAGACGCAGATTTGAGAATCTTCCAGGGAATCCTGTCTGCAGGGCAGGAGGATTCTTGAAACAGCACAAAGGAAGTGGTCCCTGTAAGGGGTACAGCTTTCCTTATCTTAACCAGTTCCGGCAAGGAATGGACTGACAGGCCCGAGTCAGGAACAACCTTAAACATAATTTTTTTCCAGATAAGAAAGTGGATATTGAACTGAAAGTAACATATATTCCTTCACTACCAAAGTAAAAGAAGATATAGATAAAAATAGACACACACACACACACCCTGTTTGAAGGAAGAAAATTCCTTCTTGTTCAGAAGAGTGTCCTGTGGGCTGGCTCATTTGGGGCCTTGTTTTATAAGCAGAGAAAGGAGTGGGTCTAGTTACACACCAGAGTCAGCTGTGCGGCTTTTCAAGCGACAGCTTCCTGAGCTCCATTTCAGACTTCTTGAGGAATCAGAATCTCTAGGTGGGGCCCAGGCATCCGTCCTTTCAAAAATATGCGTATGGAAGCTGGGATTGAGAACAACTGGAAGAAAGTCTTACCTGTGTCTTTCTAAATGGCTCTCATCCTCCCTCCCATCCTTTTATGCTTTTGTGGGGATTACTTCCAAGAAAAGTGGCCCTCAGGGTTTCTGGCTTCCTTAGATGAACATGGGCTCTTTTGGAGTTCAGTGGCAGCTAGGTAAGGAGTGAGCTTATCCCTTAGGGGGTCAAAGGAGCATCTCTTGTAGGAAAGCTTCACAGATGTTTTTATGCCAGCTAAGAATGACCATTACTCTAGGCTGCCTTCAGCTCTTCTATCCTGAATAGACACACATTGATCAGCCCCTCAGTCACACCTACTCTCCATTTTCCACCTCCCTGGCTGTCTACCTGTCCCCGTAAACCCAGAACATCAAGTCCTTAAGTGCTGCTTAAAAAGAAACCTAGTAAGTATGTGTCCTCACATAAATATGACAAGCAAATCCATTTTTAATATGGTTGGCTGATGGTTAATAAGCCATTCTGACCTGGGAAATAAAAGTGGGGGATCCTTCTTAAAGTATTCATACACTCTTGCATGTAACCATAGGCTAAAATTCTCTGGAGAAATCGAGCAGAAGCCTAAGCCTTGAGATCTTGAGGATTTTTATTTTAAAGGTCTGTTTGGCGATATGGTTGAAAGCTCATGGTTCTGAAAAGAAATGCAAACCTGACATTTTTAAGTTCTGTTTTCCACAATATCTGCTCTAGCTTGATCCCTGTGACTCAGAGTGAGCCACTAAGCCGTGTCCCCTTCTTCAGTAGGGAAATTCAACAAAAGAATTATTTCCTATCCAGAAAAGTTAAGTCAACCTGCTAAAATAGAGTCAGGTTAATAATACTTCCACCCTACTTAAACATGAGCATTGCAACTCATAGGAGATTGAATTTTGTATTTGATTTCAATTAGTAAAGCATAATTATGTTTAATTTTCTGTTCTCCTCCCTTCCCTTGAATGGATGATTCACAGCTCTGGAAAGCTTGCTGCATGTGGTTCAGAGACAAGAAAGGGAGAATTCAACCTTCCAAATGGTGCAGCTGTCATTGTTCCTGTATGAATCTCTTTATGCCAGTATCGTTCTATACCTCAAAGGTATGGAAGCCTTGACCTTGTATTTAGGCCTACCAGCTCAAAAAATAGCAACGATAATAACAAATACATTCAGCAGCCCCATTTATCTTTAGACTATATGAAAACCACATCTTCAAAGTAGTAAAGATGTGGCTGTTCACTGAGAATTCCTTGCAACCTTCAGGGGCCTCTCAGATCAAATTTTAAGGTCAGGAGAGTGGCCTGCTCAGTACCCTGGACCAGGAGTCCTAATCTGAGCCTCACTTCTTTACAATCTCGACAACCTTGCTTCTTCCAGCTTCTTGTCTTTCCTTCCCTTTCTCATTTTCCATCCTCAACCTCCTTGTTCCCAAAGAAAACTGTGTGACTACTGTCAGGAGGAAGGTAGCTGGGTTTATTGTTGCCACTATCTGTGTCTTGGACAAGTAGCATTATCTATCTGATCCTTAATTTTCATATCTCTAAAATAGGCATATTTAATCCTTACTGGTTTACTATACAGAGTTTCTGTAATGACCAAAATGAATTAATAGATGGTTAGACATGTGAAAAGAATAAAACACTTCATCGACTCAATAGATAGTGATGAAGTGATGACGATGATGGTGATGCTGATGATGGTCATGAAGAAGATAAAGAAGGAGGAGGAAGAGGAGGAGATGGTGATGAAGATGGTGATCATAATCATGATCATGAAGGAGATGAAGAAGGAGGAAGAGAGAAGGGAGGAGATTAGATACCCCTTCCAGAACAATATGTCTTTATAGCGTTCCAAGGGTATGTCTTTACTCAAACTGGACAATTATGAAAATGCTAAGAGAAAGTGAAGCACCGTTGATTTTTCTCAAAGCTAGGGCCAGAAGAAAAGTTGTGTATACATAGCACTGACCCGGCTGGATTTCAGGCATTCAAATACACAACCTTCTTCCTACCCGGGTCAGGACTCCCACCCCACACACAGACAGGTTCTCACTCTGGCCTTGCCCTCGCTCCACACTCAAGGTTCTCTTAGATACAACGAGGCACCAAGGCTCATTCACACAGGGCCAAGCAGATCCTGTTGAGATGGCAATGGGGTGAAGTTTTCAGGCTTCCAGGCTGTGAATTCTGGACCTGGAGCTCTGACTCCTAAAAGTTTAGGTGGAAGACAAAGAAGAGTGAGAACCAGGGCAGGTGCTTGGGAGCAGGTCTCACACGTTTCTGAAAATAAAGTGGGGTTGGGGAATCTCCTCAGGTTCTTTGTGTAACAAATCGGGGCGGGGAGAGATGAGTTCATACGATTTCCAGCTTCTCAGGGGGGTAAGGATGTGTCATTTTCACATATAAGATGTACATGAAACCCCTTTTTTAATAGTGAAATATCTTATAATAGTACATCATCTGTCATGAAGGTGGGAAATAAAGGCCGAGAAAATGTATGAAAAGTGTGTCCACTGATAGAAAACAGGCAAGAATCTCCAGTGTCCCTGGGTACAGGAAACAGCACTTGCTGTAGTTCATTCATGTTCCATTCAGGCTATTATCCCCAAATATGTACAGAGTGACCAAGTGGCAATTGAAAGAGATGTGAAGAGAGCAAAGCTGACTTGCTTCAACAGGGGCTCCCAGCCAAGTAGGGAAGATGGACGTGAAAGAAATAGGTACGGTAAGGTTTACAGAGTTACCAGAGGGGATGCCCAGGGTGCTGTGGAAACATGAAACTGGGGTGGGGGGGGTGATAACTAACTAAGGCAAAGGAGAGGCCACCAAGTCCTTGCGGCATCAAAGACCATCCTCAGCAGCATTTTGCCTCAATCATAGGACTATTCTCACGCTCCAGAGTTAGACTAAAGCACAAGAGGTAGACACTAGCAAAATGAAAGATAAAAAAAGTACAAGATTGGGTGATTAAGAAGGCGAAACGGCAGCGATTTGGGGAAAGAAAAAGAAAAGTGTGCACGAGGGCCATTGCTATCACGGATAATCTTTTCTC